GCAGAGATGCACAAAAGCAGTTCAATCTCGATTTCCTGGAGGTCCCACTAGCAAAGAGGATAGGATCGAGCTCCTGAATCTGGATGTGTTTGAAGCAGAGATGCAGAAAAGCAGTTGAATCTCGATTTCCTGCACATCTCCATAAACTCGTCCAGATTCAGGCATTCGACCCGATCCTCTTTGCTAGTGGGACCACGCCCCCAGGGCGTCGGCTTTAGGACTACCGGTAGCAGGCCTAAGAGCGATGTCAGCAAAACAAAAGAAGAAAGAACAGAAAAACAGTTGCGTTTCAGGCTTTCAGCAAATAGAGTGCCGCCACGATTGGGATTCTAGTAGGTTATAACATACTACCACTACGTGCATGCCCTCTCCTGCCCGTGAAACACGGGTCCTTGGGCTCCAAGGGACCTTGGGAGGACCTTGGGAGGTCCCTTGGAGTGGAGGACGATTTGATTGGGGAAACCTTGGAGCCCAAGGAATATTCCTTGGAATGTTTTCACATTTCTTTTGGGATTTAATCTCCAAGGATAGGTGGAATGAGCACCTCTCTCTCTCTCTCTCTCTCTCTCTCTCTCTCTCTCTCTCTCTCTCTCTCTCTCTCCCGACCCTCGTGTGCTGTTTGAAACATGAAAATGGGAACGAATCCTCCCGCTTTCGCGGAAGATTCATTCCCACGTGGCATATCTGAACGGCTCTCTCTCTCTCTCTCTCTCTCTCTCTCTCTCACAAGAGAGGGAGAGCGCTTGGCATCTGTAGTTGGCCTTGTGCCGTCTTCGGTCCCTCCCCGGTGGAGTTTCGCTCTTTGCCAAGCCCTCTCTCTCTCTCTCTCTCTCTCTCTCTCTCTCTCTCTCTCATGGGCTTGAGAGAGAGAGAGAGCGAGAGAGAGAACGAGAGAGAGAGAGGGCTTGTCAAAGAGCGAAACTCCGCCGAGGAGGGACAGAAACGACACAAGGCCAACTACAGATGCCAAGCGTATTACTGATGATCGTCTTTCGCCTTGCAATCTGATTCCATTTTTTTTAATTTTTTTTTGGTAATGTCATTGCATGTTGATTGCATTGCAATCCAATAGTCTTAACAATGATGGCATGCTTTATGATAAGAACACTGACAAGAGGGATAGTAATCATTTTGTGATTTCAAGCTGGTATGACCATTACGTATGAGCATCATTCTAGAAATAATGCACAGAAAAAACCCGACAACGATCATCCTTTTTTTTTTTTTTTGAATCATCCCGACTTTCAAGAACGTAAGATCTCTTCTTAATATCGTTTGCAAAAAATTAAACACGCAAAAAAAAAAAAAAAAACGTAAGATCTCTTCAAAGAACGAAACACGCTCCGCATGGGACAAATGATCACACGCATGAAACGTCAAACTAAAAATCTCGCGTATCTAGTTGATACTTCCTCGTCTTTTTCTTTTAATCTCTCTTCTTTTTTCAACAGTGCCTTCCCTTTTTTTTTTTTTTTTTTTTTTTTTTTGTTTTCAATGGCTACATCCTGGGCTTATAACAGCTGTCCTTCGGGACATCCGTTAAAATTGGAACGATACAGAATACAGAGAATGGAGATTAGCATGGCCCCTGCGCAAGGATGACACGCTTATAACAGCTGATGCTTACATGATTGCCCACTGTCGGTCCCCCATTTCTGCGTCTTCCCAGGGAAACCTGACGGCGGTCCCATGTCTGCGTCTTCATAGTGATGTTTACCTGCGCCTTACAAATTACCGCAAAAATCAGATTTCAAACTGCAACTCCAGACCATAGTAGCCGTTGGATTTCAGAGCATTATTTCTTCATCTTGCACTTCCGATGGCTACTGCAAGATGATGTTTACCTGCGCCTTACATTCCGTCCAAAAATGACAATTTATTTATTTATTTTTTGAATTCCCCACCTGGCGAGACAGTATGACGGTGTTGACACATACAATTTCCAACAGAGAGAGACACTGAGGTTAAGAGACACAGAGAGAGAGAGAGAGAGAGAGAGAGAGAGAGAGAGAGAGAAAGAGAGAGGGGAGAGAGAGAGAGAGAGAGAGAGAGAGAGAGAGAGAGAGAG